TGTTAAAATTATCAACTTCTTGACCTAAACCTTGTTGAGATTGTCTGGAAGCAGTGTTATTATGTGTGAAATTTGTTCACTAATGAATTGTTGCAAAACATCTTCCAAAGCCTTATTGGTACCATTCATAATCGCTAAATTCAACGCTTTTTTGCAAATGCCGAGACCATGGCCATAGAGAACCTTTTTTGAGTCTGAATCCACAGCAGCCTTATTATTAATTTCTTGTTCACAGATCTTTTCTAATGCTTGAAATGTATTACTTGAAATTGGGATATCATCACTTTGTACTAACTGAACAGATGATTCTTGGTTTTTATCAAACAGTAAGAGACCTTCTTCAGAATACCAACGAGAGGGTATCAATTTCATATTAAAAAGTGACTTTTTTGATTGGATCATCACAGCAAAAAAATGACAACAAACGAATCCGGCATATATTAAATAGAGACATGTGCAATAGTGCGTACCATTATCAAGTAATAAGACAAATTGTGAATGATTAGTTGTACTTTGAATATGTTTGACTTCCCAAATTTTATTTATATTGCTTCCGGAACAATCCTCCAAGCCTATGTCTAGTAAGATTTGTGATTCTTTGTAATCATCTTCTATAAATCCTGCATTATGATGATGATTTAACATCTAACCAAATAATATGTATATAAGTCTTTAGTCATTAAGTTTGGCTAAAAATGGGCAAAATGCATATTTTGCCTATCACCATGCAGATTATGATTACACGATTAATACTTTACTTATTACGATCATCTGCATGCAGATTACTATATACATTAATGTTTTACTTATTACGATCATCTGTATAGTGATCGACAAAATACGCAAATATGATCTAAGAAAGCACTTGCCTGATTTTTGTTAATGTCAAATTGACTATCGTGTAATAATGATCTATATAAAAGACTTTTCATAATTTGCTTTCGCTATAAGGTTAATGAATTTGGTGTAAGATATTTCTTACACATACTATCAATTTTCTTGAAAATCGTATTAGACACATGAGGAAGACCTGCAGTTGGATTTATGTTTCTTAATTCTTGAAATTTTGCGTACTTAACCTCATCTTTTAACCGCAACTCAATCCCAGTTTGAAGCTGACACAAGAATTGCCTGAATTCACCTCTAATTTTACAACTCTATTTATACACTCAACACGCTGCGTTGAATGGGTGTTGGCTGAAAAACTTCGCTTTGTGAATGTGTATGCCCAACATTCTTTAGTTGGATACAATACACGCTCACAATATGCTTGAACCTCCGGATAATTATCCATTAGGTTTACCCAATACCGATCAAATTCTGATACTACAAGTGAGTTCTGCAGTGTATAAAAATCAGAAATAAACATATCCCATTTCTCATTAAGCTTTCTTTTAAGTTTTTTAACTAAGTTTTGTCAAATATGGAATGCACAATGCCGAACATTAGTTTCAGGATACTTATTAGACAAGGCAACCTGCATCACTGGATTCGCGTTCGTAAAAATTGTTGCTAGTTGAAGATTATTAGTAGCTAATAGTGTTTGTTCTAAGATCCACTCATATGTTGATACTGTCTCATCGCTAACTATAGCTGTTGCTACAATACGGCTTATGTGTTCTGAATCTATTACAATAAAGATACTTAAGGGCATCATATATTTATTTGTTTTGCACATATTATCATTAATCACCATGTCATGAAACTGAGCCCATAAACTTTTTTGATCGGGCGACATCCAAAAAATCCTCAAAAGCCTGTTATTAATTTCCTCAAAGTCAACATTGAAATACCACTCAGAATTTTCTTGTTGTAACTTTAATAAGTGTTCATATAAAATTACTGCATCATTTTTAATTTGAGCATCAGCTCTGTACTTATTTATTAAGTTGTAAAGATCCCGGTTATAGATTTCTTGGTCAGGAAACTTATTTCTTAATATTCGTTTTAAAACCGTTGCCCCCAATTGACACTCCTGAACATAAAAGCGAATTTTCTCTTTAATATTGGTAGGTATTTTGCGCGATAAAGGTGAAAATTGCTGAATTAATTCACTATTATTCAACTTGTGACTATGCTCCTCAGTGAATTTATTAACATAAACAAGATCTGTACATTTACGATATGTAGTATTTAATGTAAAACCACACTCTATGCAATTCGATTCTCATTCTCGAGTTTGTGTAGGATTCAGTTTTTTTTTAGGCAAGTATTTACCTCCATGCTGGCATTTGTATGTTTTACGAGCCATAACATCGTTTTCTTTTTCAGTCCTCACGATTTTTGTTTCAAAGCCCATCTTCATAGAATATCGTTTTAAACACTGTTCCAGTACAGTAAAGGAAGTAAAAGTTTGCCCAGTGTAAATTTCTTTTAGGTGACTATCCTCAGATTCATTATCTGAGCCACTCATTTCAGATATGCTATCATCAACGTTTTCACTTGCTGGTAATATACACGCTGTTGAAGGCTCAAAAAGTGATACCAACCTGAAATCATCATCTAAATTAAGTGTATGATCTGTATGAAAGTTACTAGGAGGATAATAATTTGAATCATAATTTTCAACTACTGATAATGTATCTGCTGCTGCTTAAGATTCAAAAAGTGATGCCAAAACAGAATCTTCTAAATGAAGGGTATAATTTGCATAGTAATTATTTGAACTTTGAATTTTGCTCATTTTAAGGGCTAAAAAAAAAAGAAACAAAAATTGACGATTTTAAAGTAAGGCACGAAAAAAAGTAGGAATGTTCTCAATAAAAAAGGAAAATGAAAGGGTAGCGAAGCAGTAAAAAAAAAAAAAAAAAAAAAAAAAAAAGCTTCTCCAAATTCAAAAAAGAATCAAAGAAAGAAAAAGGAAAACAAAAAACAAGAAAAAAGAAAACGTGTATAAAAAAAAAATGAAATGTGTGAAGAAAAAGAAACGTGTAAAAAAGAAAAAA